GGAATGGAAGATCGATCACCGGAATGTCCGTTATCAGATACAGTGGATGAGCTGTCAAACAAGAACCAAGTTGTCGCAGCGGAGAGGAAATCCGTGACTAAATGAAGGCAGAACTTCCTCTAATTTCTTCTTTCTCTTATTTTTTGATACCTATTTTTTTTCTTTGGCTTCTTTTTCCCTTGCACAGCAGAGAAAAATAATAAATAGGGCGGATGGAATGAGTGGTGGTGCTCGGGAAATGGAAGGTGGGCTGCTAGACTCAAGGGGGCGAAGAGATACTGCAGCAGCACGGTAGCACCACGGATAATGGTACAGGGAAGATCAGGGCGGACAACCAGGACGCGCCACGGGCGAGATGTGAATAGAATAAAATAAGGGTTGGGAAGAACTAAAAGTATGAAGGAAAGAATCCAGGATACACAGATCTGGGACTGGAAGAATGAAAAAGGATCAAAAAGGAATGGTGCAGGAAATAAATCGGAGTCCCCCAGGGAGGAATGGGGAAGGGAAAGTAAAGGTAAGAAGGAGAGAGGAGGAGAGAGAGAAAAGGGAAGGGAAGGAAAAAGGGAAGAGGGGGGAAAAGAGGCGAGTGAGTGAGTGAGTGAGTGGATGTAATGATGGATGAGGTGGATGGAACCACTCTCCCGCCGTGATTCTGGGCCTTGTCTTTACCCCCTCTTTTTCTTTACTTTACTCTTTTCTCAGGCTTCCTCTCTTGTCTCTTTCTCTCTTTCCAGTCCTCTGAGTGGGTACTAAAATTCAAGATGATGAATTTAAGCACGCAGAAAAGGGCTAATAGCAAGCCCTGATTCGACTGCTCTCTTTTCTCAGCGACCCAGTCAATAACCCTTGGATCGGATCCTTGAGTCGCGACTCGTTCGCCAGGGTCTTTAGCCGACCAACTGGAAGAGTGGGATAGAGTTATGAAAGTGGGAAAACTTTGCCTTCGGTATTTTCTCCAACGGTTCGCCTGGCCTTGTAATGATGCGGGCGATGGTCGAGAACCACCTGTTCGCCAAAAGTCAACCATGGATACGCATTCTACGGGGCTACGCAGCAAAGAAATAAGCGAAACAGCCAGCATAATAACAACAACGAACTACGGAGTCCTAATGCTTCCTCTTTTCTCCTCCTACATCTTTTTTTTTTCTCCGGTGCTCCGACGGAGACAAGCAGGGCAGTCAGGCGCGGCTAGTCGTGCGATTCGATTCGGTGGTCGGACGGACAGGACAGCCTTGACCATCTTCCCCCGGTCATTTGCTTTTGTCGGGTGGCCACCAACAAAAACAATAAAGGAAATTCAGGGACCGACCCAAAGCTTCATCCCGGCGCGTGTTTGGCGTATTGGATTTCAGGAGGTTAGAAATCTAAAATTCCACCCCCCCCCCTCCCTCCTACATAGTACTCAACGTACCTTGAAGAAAAAGAGAGAGCCCTTGATAGGGCGGGACTCTCCCGAGTATGCCTCCAGATATCTACTCCGTAGATAGTATAGACCGTCTAGTCTAGATTAAAAGCCGACCGAGCTCAAAAAACGATAGGAAGAATTATACACAGACTAAACCCAAGTGGGCGTCGTCAAACGGCAGCACCACCGAGGCTACACCAACTAAGGCCAAGTGGTGTCGGCTTGACGCCAGGAACGGCATCGCGGCTGGCCATTGGAAACCGCCATGTGCCCTGAGCGGTGGGGAATTGAAACAATCTGCCGTCTCAGCTGAAGGGGGAGGAGGGAAGTTGCACCTCATGCAACTAAACATGCTGGACATGACGTCGAAAGGAAGGAGTGTGAGTGGTTCTCCTACATACATCACGTCCGTCCTTGAAAGACAGGCTTAATCTCCTACTTACCTACCTACATACTTGGACCCTCTCTAATGTAGGTACCGTGCCTGTCGGATAGAATCCGCGATCCGTTCCATGAGGGTTCTTTTCTGAACAATGGAGTTGTACGTACCACCACACTAAACTAAAAACTAAGAGCCAGACGGAGATGCCGGGCGGGTCAAACCACTGAGTGCCTCTTTTTTTCTTTTTCGCTTTGTTTCCCCACCTGTGGGTCAACTTAATAAACTGGGCGGTGGTTTTCACCCGCTGATACACTTGTACACTTGACCTGTGCTTTTTTCGCCTCGATGTCCTTTTGTGAGGAGTATACTTTCTTGGTTTGCTGTGCGATGAGCTTCTGCTTCTCTATTTTATTTTGCTACTTTATTTCTAGGAGTAGGAATTAACATTAAACTCATTAGTCTCTTCTTACTATTATTTAATAAAAGTAAAGTGACCATCTACATAATAGTATGTAAGCACCTTACTCCGTACCGCACGCCAATACCTAACTAGAACCCCCGGACCCCATTGCTACCAAATTACTACTTTCCGGATGAAGTTTCCACGGCGGCTTTACTCCAGCAACAAATGTACGATGCAGATTAGAATTCTTCACCACGACCATCCTCATCTACTACCACACATCCTCCATCTACTTTAGGCCTTGCAGACGAGATGCTTGCTCTAAATGAAAAACGCAATCACCGGACCCGTCCACTCGCCTCATCCTGAGCATGTGATTGGTGTTCGAGACCGTATCAGACGATATCTGGTTTAGGTATTCTGCCGGTCGATCATTCACATTTATTCATCAATCACTTTCATCGCTTCCAGCTTATTCATCGACTTTCATTCCGTCCGTTCTCGTCAACCACATCTAAATTAACTGACTGACTACTCCGTACTAGTCAGGTCAGGTGAACTGTTATTGGGGTATCACAACGTTTTCATTGCAAAAGAGGTACTCTCAAAATATCTATCTATAAGTAGTAGAACTCCCGTAGATCCATTCTTTTTACTTCCTCCATCTTTTTTTTTGTTGCGGTCATTCAGGCTGAAGGCGTCCAAATTCAAGCTTCTTCTCGTTTTGTTGCATTGCATCTACTCAATCCTCATCCATCGACTCCCAGCCATCCGCACCTTGCGCCGCTCCAACCTCCTGCACGCCTTCCTCCTCATCCGACTCATCCTGATCGGGCTGAATACCGACCAGACGTTCCTGCACCTCTCCCTCCAGGGAAGGCATCCGCGAGACGAACGCCCGACGCACCGCCGCGTTGGTGGAGGTGTCCCAGATCTGGACCACGCCCTTGCTGCCCGCCACGGCGAGGCGGAAGCTCACATCAGCATCCGGTGCGAAAGTGGTCGAGAAGATCTTGCCCACTTCCAACTTGCGAGACACTACCATGCTGGGCTTGTCGTTCTCAACGTTCCAGAGCTTCACGGACTTGTCCGTTGATCCGGTCACCAGGTAGCCCGGCACGGTCGGGTTGACGTCGAACGACGACACCGATGAGTCGTGCGCCTGCAGCGTCCACACGGGCTTGGACTCCTTGGGCGAGGCGGGAATGTTGCGCACATCGTAGCGGTACACCATACCGGCATCTGTCGTCACGTAGAAGTAGTTCGGGTCGTGCTTGTCCCAGCGCACGTTCTCGACATCGGCATCCACGCCCCAGCGGGCCTTGGAGTCGGGGGCTCTCATATCCGCTGCAACCACGGTGCGGTCGTAACTACCGCTCAGCAGGACGGTAGACTCGGTCGGGTGCCATTCAAGCGCGCACACCTTGTCGGTGTGGTGGGAGTAGGACTTGGCGCACTTGGTGGTCTGGAGATCCCAGAGCTTTACGGTGCGATCGGCAGATCCAGAGGCCAGGAGGTTGCGGTGCTGGCGGTTCGCAGCCAGAGCGAGGATCGAGTCGATGTGGTATTCGTCGTTGGCCTTGGCCTTCTTCTTCTTGGACTTCTTCGCGCCGTTCTCGGCATCGGCACCGCCCTGTCCCAGGATCGCGTTGGGGTACATGCTGTCGACGACATCGAGATCCCAGATCTCAATGTCAGGCTCCATTGTTCCAATAGCCACAAAGTTGCCGGTAGTGCGGCCCTCGGCCGTCTTGCCAACGGGGATATCCAACCACTCCAACGCCAACGGGATAGCGGGAAGCATGATATCGTGGTGAACGTAGAGGTTATCGGCGGCATCCTCGTAGACGTAGACCTCCAAGTGAGCAACCTCGTCCTCAACCTTACCCGCCAACAGCAGGTTATCCGTCGGCATAATCTGCAGTTCCTCTCTCTCCTCATCCTCCTCCTCCGGCGGCATAACCAGGTACGGGTCCTCCTCGTTGGGCTGGTGGTAGGCGAGCGACTTGACATTGCCGAACATGGTAATCTTTTCGCCGTCCTCATCAACCTCGTCGCTGTCGTAGTGATCCAGATCGTATTCCTTGAGGTCGTCGTCATCACTTTCATCATCAAATGTTAGCATTCGTCCCTGTCTCTCGTTCCTTACCGCGAATTCCAATCCAAAGGTTTACAACAGGAAAACTCACTCCGCAGCACCATCCTTCTTCTCATCCTTCTCCTCCTCCTCCTTGGAATCGTCCTCCATGGCATCATCCGCACCCTCCTTCTTATCCTCCTCCTCCATCTCCTCATCCTCCTGCGCAGCCTTCAAATCACCCTGCGCCTCTTCAAGCTGCATGCGCGCAAGCTTCGATATACGATCCATTTCCTCCTCGTTGATCTCATATTTCGTAGGGAACTGGGCAGCGACTCCGCGCCGCACCCAAGCGGAAGTAGTAATCATAGACATCGTGAGAAGCAATCAATCGTGAATATAAAAGAAAAAAAGAAGAAGGATTGTGGAGATCCTGCCGTAGGCGATTTGCTCAACCTATACAGGTGCAAACTCGGACAGGAATATAAGACACAAGAAGAGGAAACCACAATTCCTCAACGGTCTAAATAGAAAAGAATGCCAACAGAAAAAAAAACCCCGTCGACAAGCAATTAGTTTAAAACTAATCGAAGAGGTTAAAAGTAAAGAAAAAAAAAAGAATAATTTTTTTTCTCTTTCCCCCGCCTGGCAGAATACTACCCGATAAGTCCTTCACCGCCCGGCTTTTACGGAAAGAAATCCTTCTCATTTCCATATATGGATCATTAATGCAGTTAGGACCCATTGCTGTATAGAACTTCAATTGATATCTCCATACATTTTAAACCCAACATACGATACGATACAGTTAAACAACAGTCAAGATGCATTCCCACCTTCACACCCCCTACAACGCAAGTACGTTACCTCTCTCCCCCCCATCTCTCCACCATCAACATCAAATCACATTATACCACACCACACCAAGCACCGAACTAACTTTCCCTCTCTACAGACTGCGAAGAAATCATGACCGCCCTCGACGAATGCCACGCACGAGGCTTCATCCACAAAGCCCTGGGTGGATGCAACGACGTCAAGCGCGACGTGAACAAATGTCTAGCGGCGGAGCGGTATGCGCGCGCAAAGCGCAACCGGGATGAGGCGAAAGAGAAGCGCAAGAAGATCGAGCGTATTTGGGCTGAGGAGAAGGCGCTTGCGGAGACGGGGTCGATTTCTTCGTTGACTTCTTCTGCTTCTGCTTCTTCGGGCTCGAGCTCGGCGGAGAAATAAATCTGTTATTTTGCGCTTGGTTGATGGGATAGGGTGGGGTGCTGGTAGTGGTACTGGTGGTGTGTATGATATGATTGATGTATGTGTCTGATGGGCTGGGTGCATGTGGGTTCCTTACTTTTGATTGGCGTTTTGGGATTATATTATATTATATCATATCATTCTCTCTCTTCTTATGGTGCTTCTTTGGGGTTGTATGTTGATGTTGTGCTGGGATGTTAGATGTTGGAATCGTTCTAACAATATCGATGATAAATACCTATACACAATTCATATGGACACTTTTTTTAATCTCGTCCGCCGAACGCCGTACCATGAAGTCAAGTTAAAAAAAAGAAGTAGCACCTTAGCAAAGCAATCAATCATCCATGGCATCAGCCGGCGCAGCAGCAGTAACAGCCTCCGCACCACCCTCACCATCACCCTCTATCTTTCCAGCACCGCCCTTATGATGACGACGTCTGCGCTTCGCCTTCGGCGCAGCATCACCATCCTCGCCCTCTCTTTCCTCCGCAGCAGGTCTCTCCTCCGCCTCTCTCTTCGGCTTCTCCGTCTTCCCGGCAGTGGTACCCTCAGGCGCCCTCTTCTTCGGCTTCTTCACACTCAACGGATTCGGGCCCTTGGGCTTCTTCAATTCCCTCTTCTTCTTCGTCTTCTCCCCATCCGCAGCCGTCGTCGTCGTCTTCTTCTTCGCCTCATCATTCAACCCAACCCTAAACTTCCCCTTCTCCACACCCTCCCTAATCGCATCCGACGGATCACTCATCGGCTCCAACACCATCACCGACCGCTTCACATACACAATCGGCACACCGGGAATTGACCGAGCCTGACGCCGCAGCAACCTCGACTTCCGAAGCGCCGCCTCGGCCTTATCCTCTGCGTCGCGCTTGCGTTTCCGTCCCGCGGTCGAGTTGTCCGTCGCGGACTTGTCCTTGGCGTTGTGCGGGTCCGCCGTCGCGAGGATGTAATGTTCCTTGTTCTTTTTGCTGTCGGCGGAGGGGGAAAGGAGGGAGAGCAGGCACTCGACTTCGTCGATGGGGGTCGAGTCGGCGTTGTGGGAGCAGTGGCGGAGAGGGAGAGTGGTGGGTGGGGGGAGGTGGTCGGGGCGGTAGGGGTTGTTGGTCTTAGGGTTGATGGGTTGGGAGGCCATTATTGCGGCGAGGGAGCATTTTGTGAGGACTTTTTTGGTCATTGGGTCAGTATATTCGTTGCAAGTTATGGTTGATATCCGGGGCAACATACGAGGCTTGGGTTTGCCTTGAAGAGTGCGCTCCAGAGCGGGGATCAAGTCCATTTTGAAAGAGTGAACGGCGCGGAGGAAATTGGAGTCAACTGTCAAATTTTCTAGTTAGTATACCCTTATCCTTGACATGATAGTATCAATGGATGAATAAATGGATGTCTGCATACCCAGAACCTGATACGGCTCACGGAACCCGAACGTAAGCTCATACTGGTGCATGAGCTTGCGGTACTTCTTGGATCGCTTGGCCCTCATCTTGACTGTCTGGTCGTCTGAGGTGCGTTAATATGTAGTATGTATGACCTGTATTTGGGTTTGGGGTTGGTGCAATTGGACTTTTTTTTTCTTTGCGCCGGCGGTCACTTTTTTTGCCGGGCGGAGGAGAGAGCTCGGGATGTTGGTCTGTGCGTGGGCTGGCTAAGCGGCCGTTGATGGAGTCAATTATGGGGCCATCTTTCATTCAAATCGCCTCTATGGCTCAGTGGTAGAGCGCATCACTAGTAATGATGAGGTCCGCGGTTCGATCCCGCGTGGAGGCAATTTCTTTTTCTATTTTGTCAATTCGTGATGGGGAGGGATTGTGTAGTTTTATGTGTGGTAGTGTGTATAGCTAAAAAAATTTTTGGGTTAGCCATGTACGGATTACTAGGGTGTGTGGAACGTGTTTACTTTTTGCCTCAAAAAGAAGGTTTGATAGATTGGCAGAATATGTCACGGGTATTTATGCAATGACAATAAGCAATAGTCTATGTCGCTGTGCCAGTAGAATATATATAGCCCGAAACGTCAAATGTCCCACAAACGCCATTACCTCCCCCTTTGACCGGTCCTGAAAGGACCCCAGATCCCAACATGCAACATATACACCACCCATGCCATGCACATATAGTGCGTATGCAATGTAATCAAGCGATTGTCCGACGGCCGAGCCCAAGTTGATTCGGACATCTGCTATCTTGTCGATCGCCCTCTGTCACAAACCTCCAGACGTAGGTTTGTGCGGAAGTCAAAGTATGAAACGCTGTGCAAGTCAACTCCGTGCTGACATGAGATGTGTAAGCCCTGCTTCACCCCCTAACCCACTGCCTGCGTGCAGGTCACCGGGTAGATGGGTCGATTACGTCCTCCTCCTGCAAGAGCCGATTACCACACTGATATCGTCCATTTTCCCTGCATCAAGATTAGTCTACTTCACTGAAACGGTATGCAAAGACACTCACCACCCTGCACGGCCAGTCCTTCATCCACCGCCTTCTCCATGTACGGACTCTCCGCAAAGGGATCCTGAGCAATCTCCAGAGCAGATTTGAGCAGCTCCCTCGCTATAAACACCATCTGCTCATCCGCCATCACAGCCGGAGGGGCCCACTCCGAGTCCTTGTCTTCATGACGTCCTTGCTGCCACTTCTCTAGACTATCCAGGATGATCGTCAGGATCTCATGCTCCCACAGATTGTCCACGATACCATCTGACACGGCCACCACGAGGTCATCCTCCTGCACATCAATCAAGGAAAGGACGGCATCCTTCCGGGGAGTATCGACGCTGTTGGTGCCCAGCTGCATAGGACAGTCGAACCAATGCCATTGTTCCTTGGTCCGAAAGAGGACTCTCTTCTCGCTAGGCCGGATGACAAAGATCTTGCAGTCACCTATATTGGTCACGTAGAGCAAGGGCCGTATGCTTCCCGTAGCATCGCGCTTCCAATGCAGTATTGCTGTGACCGATGTGGTAGTTCCCAGCCATTCACCTGGGGAGGTCGTTGCTCGAATGGTTTCCTCGTATGCGCGTTGAAGATAGCCAATAGGATCTAACTCGGACTGGCCATTGGGCTCTCGTTCAAGTTCCAGGGCCCAGTAATGGAGGAGCAGTCTAGACCAAAGCCTATATCAACAAGAAAGGGCAAGTCAGCACGCGGGAAGGGATGGAGACGGTGATCCAGTTGGGGGTCAGTAGTAGGGGGTCCGCGGAGACTAGTACAGAGGGACAGAACAACGTACGCAGCATGACCTCTCGGCTTGGTTGCCCACGCCCCGACCCCATCGTTCACGGCGAGGTAATTCTCCGCCACTAAAACAGCATCGTCGCCGTTGTTCAGGCCGCGGACCAGATCCCCCCGGACGGATAATCTCTTATCCTGACTCAGGTAGTGGGTGGTCAGCGGGTCGGAAAAGGAGGAAGAGGGCGGAGACAGGAACGGTGGGGGGAAGGGACGCGAGGGCCGTTTGGCGCAGAGCGCATAGCCTGTCTGGAAGCAGAAAGGCGAGCGGGAGATGGGGAACTGTGGATTAGGATCCGGGATGGGGGTGGTGATGCCGTAGGAAGGCCAGACGGCGCGATATCGTCGCACCCAGATGCTGCTGGGGACCCCGGAATGAGCGCTCCACAGTGGGCTGCGTCTAATTACTACCGGCGAAGCGAGAGGAGTAATTGAGGAGAAGAATGATAAACAACCTGTCGAACTAACAACAAGAGTCTTGGGCACCATGCCCGCTAAAAGTTTCCCAGAGATTGCTGTGCCGGGCGGGAATCCCAGACAAGCGCAGATACAGACAAAGACTCTTTTTCTCGGGAAGCTGGATTTTGGCCAGAGCCAAATGAAAATCTTGCCGACTTGCGAACCACGGCCAACTTTCTGACCAACTTTGCCCCATCCATCCCCGGTCACCTGCGCCCCACCTGACTTTTGTGATTGTTTACGGTTGAGAGTACATACAAAGTTGTTGAGAAATGACAGGAGAAGCTTGAGCTTAAACTTGAGCTTGAATCTGAATTATGAGCTAGGTATCTTAGAAAATTATTATCTCTCCATCACCCCATCTCCCCTTCATTTTTTCCCCATACAATTTGACATTACCCCCCCACACACACCGACGCAACCATACTGCCAGGTAACACGAGCTAGTATCGGCTTGCAGATGGCCCATATTTATCATACCCCTTTACTTTTTCATACCCCTAGGTTGCATGTTCAATTTCTTTGATTAAATACTGTCCGTTCCCTCTCCTACGTAAACCATGTAGATGTATACCTACCTCATCGATAAACCATCCCAATGACCTGACATGATGCTCACTTTCTTCGAAATCACTCACATTTCCCAACACTTTTCGTTCACAGATACGAGATCGCCGGAAATATGATGATCGTCAGGCATGTCTACTCAAGAGGGGAAAGGACTAAGGAAAATCAACGTAATCTCAGCAAAGAAAGAAAAAGCAATCACACCCCTCAACTCCATGGAATGCCTCAACGCCGTCATCATGCCACCAAACGCCAGTAAAGACCAGACCAGCTACTCAATTGTAGCCTTAGGGTTCAAATGACGCCGGCAAATAATTCTTTCTGCATCTCTTCGCCGAAGATCCTAACAGCCCGGTTCAGGGCCAATCCGATCACAAAGACGTCAACATCTTCCCGGATGGAAGAAAGCTCTTGGAACACGGCCTTCGAAAGAACCGTGCACCGGTCGCGAATCCCAAGAGTCCCACGGTTTGCGTTAACCTGACTCAGTAACAGGATCATATTCCACTCCGCGCAGGGGCAGAGACGGTCCGGATCCTGGGTACAATCCTGGCCGCAACTGCAGGCCGATTGGCACACACACTTTCTCCGTTTGGCGTATTCGATCAGCTGCTGCATGGTGCCCTGGTTGCGGAGAACACCCACAGTCTTGCCTTCAAGCATGGCTAGTGCGGCCTGCCGGTGATCCGAAGTACGTGCCCTTTCCGTGAATGCTGGGTCGACATTGTGTCGCTGAATGAAAGGGAGGGGCTGCTGGGGGATCATAAACTGATAAGTGTTTCTCGGTGTGAAGGACATGTATCTCTCGGAATGAACGATAAGGACCTTTGGCGGTGGCATATGGTAGATCAGGCCACTCCCAGCCCACTTCTGGCGAAATGAAGAATCCGGGTTGTCGATAATCCCAAGGGTAAATCTCCGATATCCGATGAGATCGTCCAAGGCGAACGGCATGCTGTTGACCTTTGTCACAGCGCGGTGGACTAAAGTAGTCTGATAGTTCCGAACAGATTCTTTGTTAAAGATCTTGCAGACAGTCGGGCTGTCGAGGATCTGCTTGCAAGTCAAGAATATGTTGTACAAGTGGCGTGGCTCAGGGAGCATGAAGTTGTTATGCGAAGAAACGCGTGTTACCTCGATACTGAAGCAAGAGCATAGGTCGACCATGACAAGCTCCATCAGAAGCCTCGCGTAAAGGGCGTGGTACAATTTCTCAACGCATTCAACCAATGGAGCGATCTTCTTGGACGCGATGGCATCTTCTGCGTCCCTGATGCAAACCATTAGGCCGCCCTGAAATCCATCCAGCTAGAAACAGATACACCAAATGGTTAGCGGCTTCTTTCTGTGCCGGACTTTGGGCTTATAATCTCCTTACTTCAACGCCGTAGTGGATGAAGCACATGAAGACCACTTTAGCGACGGTGTACACCTTCACGTATACAGCCAGCACACTGTTTCTCCAGGACGAAACATCATAGCCCTGCGCATCATCCAGATTCTCGAGATACCCCGTGACAGTATTCCATTCGACAGCACCAACAGCGTAAGGCGAAAAAGGAAATTCGGCAGGGGCCGTTCGCTGTCAAATTGATGTCAGTTTCCAGCCAGAAAGGAGGACAGATTCACAACAAGATGCCAAAGCCAACATACAGCTGACGTGTACGACATCCCTGTGCTGTCCGAAGACCGCAGTCCCATGCTCTCAACCGTATCTCTGTATTCTTCGTCACTCTGTTGTAGAACTTCCAACGAGTACTTGTAGAAGCCGTCAGTGTGCTCGCTGAAGGAAGAAGAGGAAACAGAATTGAAGGAACGGTGTTGTGGGTGATCATGCTCGCTGCTCCTGGGTTCTCGCCGAGTGAAGAGCTTCCGCCGAGCAATAGCCCATAGCTGGGAAGCGGATCTGTGACTCGGTACCATTTTGCTCGCTTTGCAAGATGATTCCATGAATGTCACAGTACGGCGGTTATCAAGCTCCGTATGAGTGGTAAGGCTGCCGAAGAGAGACGAGATGAGAAGGTTAATGGTAACTTTCAATTATTCGCAAGAGCATACCCGTGCCTGCTTGATAGGTAAAGAAGACAGTGAATGGTCATGCTGGGTGTTAACACTACACAGGGTGAGGAGTTTCTTGTGGGTTGGCCAGATTGATGCTGGGAGAGAAATCGAGAAGGCGCTCACGGGGTCAACAGCCAGAGCAGTACCTGCTCTTCAGCCAATTCATCCTCCCTGCTATCTATGACTTGGGCAGATAAGCAGTGGCTACTACTTGGGAGGGAAGTGGACCTGTTCATCTGAGTACTGGTGAAAGCCTAGCCAGGTCTCTCTATTGTTTCCACTTTGTGAGTCGTGATCACCTAGTACTTGAGGTATATAGAGTTATGCTGTGCCACCCGCAAGTACTTCCGTAAGGTGCTTGAAGTTGCCTGTGAAACACGATACAATCAGACCCGTATGATACACGTCCACTAACATTGCCTAATCATATGCATGATGTGTTGTCATGTTCTGATTTATGTTGTCTTGGAGCTTTAGCACAGAATTGCAGGTGTTTGCACAGAAAGTCTATCTCCCAAAACAAAGTAACTGAAGAAGATTCTCCAGTCACCGGAAAGACGAAACAACAGATAGCCTCCCCTAGAGAACAAAAAAGATAAGATTAATAAAAATGAAAAAGCAGGTGTAAACTACAATAACCCAGGATCGACTTCAATAGGGGCCTTGTCCCCATGGCCAGAATAAGGCAAGATGACTTCTGGTATCTTCCAAAGGACACTATTGGCCCTGTCAATGTATTCAGGCGGGATATTGGCGCTCTCGCTGAAAGATAGAGACTGTCAAAATATGTCAGCTTATTGAATGAAGGCATCGCAGAATATGAGCACTTACACGCAAGCTGGTCAGACCTCTGACCCATTCAAGGCCAAAGTCGCAAGATTCGTTGGGCAGATGTTCATAGTCTTCGATGGGATGGGCAAGTACCTGGTGGCAGTTTTCCAACCAGAGCACTTTGAGCTTCCGACCAGGAGCTAGAATGTTATCATCCATATCTCGCTCTTCTGGCTCGTAGGAAACTCCACCTAGCCAGTTCAAAAACTCAGGCTGTGCACCGCGACATGTTCTCAGTTTGAGAACAGTCAGCTTGGGGTTCTTCTTCACAAGCATGGTCAACTGCCACGGTGTGATGCCCGCCCGCTCCAGGATCAACGTCTGTAGCCCGCAAAGCCCATATTGGGCATACCGTCCTATACCGAGGAACATATTCCATGCCGTACTTCCCGGGGCAGGATTCAGCCAAGTGCTCGGTCTGATGGGGCCGTCCCGAATGTGTGGATGCTCAAAGCGCAATGCTAGATGATGCAATATGTTTTTGCATTTGGAAGCTAAAGCCATGGCACCCTCGCTGTCAAGATCATACGCCATAAACTCCAGTTTCCTAAGTCCTTGGCCATACCGATTCACCACTTGGGCAAAAATCCTATTTTGCTCCCTAATCATCTGCTCCAATGTTCGGGATTTCTCAAGTAGTGCAGGGCACCGTCTTTTCAAGCTTTTCATTTTCAGTAGAGGCTTGCTGTCCAAGTCGCTCGCAAGGCGGCTCATGGCAGGTTGGATGATGGATATTGTGTAGTCATTCGCTTGTTTGTTGTGACTGGAAATCTGCGCCATTTGATCCGGCGTGGTCCAGCCAGCCTGGAATAAGGATATCACAGAGTGAATGCGCTTCTCGAAAATTCCTAGTCGTAGACATTCAAGGCAGAGAGTATGGGACGCATAGTTGGCGCGAGATGTTTCGCCGAAGGCAAGCAAGGACTCGAAGGGAAGGTAGGAGAGTATGTGAAGGATGAGCTCCAAGGGTAATAAACTAATCTTGTCGGACATTTTGTGAAACCTGGCTAGACGTTTAACCCTCCCACAAGATCCTCTGCCTGCCAGTAATATGTTGTCGTCCGTACTTTAAGCGCTGCCTGGTCGCCCACTCCGTTTGTCCGCAGTTCAAGGTCCCCTCAACATGGTCGGCCCAGGGGGTGGATAAAGCGGGAGTAAGCTACAACGAGCGGAGAAATGTATAAATGGAAAGACTCAGTCAAAACAATGACAGAAGTTGATTCCCCTGTTGTCAACTTTGTATTTTTGGCCGTTATATTGGCTTGGGTGGTCTAGGGAACTGTCTGTTGGCGATGGAAGGGGGAGAAATGCAGGAGAAATGCAGCGATTGATTGCGTAGAGCAGAACTGTGGCAGATATTGATGCGGATCACATCTAGTTTTTTTGCGCTGGAGCAGAGGCGTTGCGATATATAGCATGCAGGGTTGCGACGCTCTGGAGGGCTAAGCTGCGCCCTGGCAGGGATACCTTGCAGGCGGGGTCCCCCCGACAGTTTTAGTAGTTCTCACCGTCGACACTGGCTCCTCTAGCCGAAGAAATGGTCACATTCTCGGTTGGAACAAAGTAGCGAGTGAGGATGCTCTACTGAAAACCTCAGTATTATTTGGCATCAAATAGAAGAAAGGGGAAACGTAAGCGAAAAGTGAATAGCCACGAACAAGTGTTGCCATTGGGTTGCGGTCAGAAAAATCAAAAAGGGTTTACTCGGGCTCTAACTATTGCTGTCACTTTTTTATAGACGGCTTCCACTAGAAAACCCACTTAACCAACTAGACGGCTGACCTGGCATGATCCAGGCGAATGGCCGCCCTCTTCTACAGCGCACTATCGGCTAGATAGTGCTGGGCATACAAAAATCATGCATGGCCTGCTTGGGATAGGACGTGGCTCATGTCCAACATGTTTGCACCTCACCGTGGAGCTGGGAATCCGGTGGCGCATGCTTTCTGTCGCGACCCGTCGCGGTGTTTCTCATTTGTTAGTGCAGGTTAGACTAAACTACACCCGCTGTACAGCTTGAACGGAGCGGGTGTCCAGTGTCACAGGCGATCCTTTCACTGCTCGTGCCTAGACTGAACTAGAGGAGCTGATATCTGGAAAAACGTACGGATTGGGGTCAGCGTTGCCCGTTCTTGGCCATTGCGCATTTAATGGGGACGCCAATGCAGCGTGAATCCCTGGTGTCGGTTTGCAAAAGAAAATATGCGGTAATCCCACTAAGGTCGCAGGAAGCGGTTATCGGCATGTACCCCGTATGATAGATAGACCCAATATGGAGGATAGCACGCCGAGCCGACCACATCTCCCAAACCCCCTCCAGCCAGCCATCGATTAGGCAGATACTCAACGGTGTCGAATAAAAACCTGCGGAGATACCGGAGACGATCATCGTAGGATAGATGAGAGCTGAGATCACATCATCACCACAGCACCCCGTTTCTCCGATCGAGGATGGCAAGATAGCGACCACCCCCACGAATCCTGGCCATCAGTCAACACCAGTTTAATCTCCTTGCAGTCAATGTGTGACACCGAACCGATCCCCTGGGACTTCTTGCCCAATTGAAGGCCACCTGTTGGGTGATCCGAGTCATATTCGGCGATCAGATGCATCGATAGGGCGGTTCGGATGGTTCACACGTTTAAATCTGGTCATCTGTTTGCTTTTCACCCAGCTGGACTTGTGGCTGCAGCTAGAAGACAGCCACGGTAACACTTCGGAGTGCTTCGGCCGATCTGAGGCTCGATTCCGAACCAGTGTATCCTGCGCGAGTGTTCGTCGGCCGTAGCGGAATAGCGCAGTAACTAGACCCACGCCAGTGTGCTTAACGTGCAGGACGGGGTTTGGGGTTAGACTGGAAAATACCTTGTGGCGGATGGGGAAATTGAAACATTGTAGTGGAGATTAAGGAGGCTCCCTCAAAGCGTTCATTTTCAGGTGTTTTCAGCTCTGCTGCAGCTTGTCGAGCATACGTAACAAGGAAGAGAGGGACGGGAGGGAGCTGAGAGCTGAAGCAGCAGCCGGCGGTATTTATGGGTTGGTTAGTAGTGTTATATTGCAGCAAATAAAACAAAGCAAGGCAGCCGCACTACTACTTCAAGCCACATGCAGCTGTCATGCGTTTGACAATGCGAGGTAGCGAGGATAGATATAATAAAAAGTAACGAAATCAAGAGAAAAGAAAAGAAAAGAAAAGGGAAAAAAAGAATACTTATGATGCTCGACAACCTATACATCCTAGAGAAAAATAAAATCGACTTATGCATGTGCGTATGTCACCCCTCGCCTGCAATTTACAAAGATTATATTCTTGAGCCAGCTCTCTATCCCTGAACCCTGAAAGTACGGCCACTGGCCGTCTTCCTTTCTCGCTCCTCGTTCTCGGGCCGCGCCCGGTTGAGAACTATCATTCATTAGTGACCTGGACATACCTTCATTGTTGGGGATCCACTCTTACCTTGGAGGAAGTCCGCGGTCCTCTTGCGCATCCTAGTGTGAATGTATGCCTGAATTCTAAGTAAGCATGTTGACCTGGCCTGCAAAAATGACAGGGAAAGCTACCTTAGATGCTTTGATGTGGTAATGGAAGTAATCACGGAAAATCTGGATGTGGGAGATGTTCTCATAGCGTCGCTGTGGGGTCAGGTGGCGAGGGAACAGGACTATGAGCGGTTAGTGACAGCTAACAGGTGGGTGATGCATATCCCCGAATACATACCGAAAGTGACATAGCTGATACTACCGTCGTTACCGTTCTGGATGCCAGGCACACCAGCCAGCTCCAGGGGACAGTCGTTTCGGAAGAGTACTTGAGGGGCATTCTGCAGGGTAAGAACACGGCGTCTGGCATCGACGAATTCCTGCAGGAACACCTTGCCAAAGATGCGATCTGTCTCCTCCCGGAACACTGTGCTGAAGATCACCGTGACGCGATCATGGCTGGCTTTAATGTAAATCGCTTCCTCCTCTCGATAGTGAATGGCCATAACCTCCCCTCCTTCCTTAACTCCCTGGGGCGCAGTCTCGCTCGTATATCCCGAAGCCTCTTCGGCCAGCTTAGCGAACTCATCGAATGCTCTCTCGAAGGGGGCGGCCATGGCGTTGCGCTTCATCAGCGCCAGGCGCATGATGAGTTCATCCTTCGCCTCCTGCTCGGCGGGCAGGTTCTCTAGATCGATCAGGACGGAGAAGTCATAGCCGGGCTCCGGGGTGACAATGTAGGGGCCGTATTCCCTTTCCAGCACCTCCTGGGCACCGTACTGGACAAGCTCCCGGAAGCATTTCACGTTGATGGAGATGAGGATCTTGGTTTTGGATTCTGGCGTAGACAGATGGAAGGTCACTCCGTCAAAGTCGGAAACGATCTGGTCGATTGACACGGGCGGGGCTCTGAAGGAAGCATGAATGGAGCTGTTAGCTGGTAGCCTGGCGTATACCGGAGGCGGGGGGGGAAGCTGTACCCAGAGAACCGCTCCGTCAGGAGGGAGTGGATGAGGACGTTGTGGTAGTCTAGCAAAAGCATGTTGATGGGCGCATCCAATGATAATGAGTAAGAGATTCAAATTCTCGGCCTGCGATTCCCTTTCCTTTAATCCTGGCTTTCAATCCCACGAGGGTCACTGCCACGATGGGAGTTACGTTGATGGGGGGCTTTGGGGAACCGGCAGGCGGTGGGGGAGGCCGGCATTGGTCGCTGTCGCTCTCCGTAGCGACCGCCGCCATTTGCGCCTATCGATAGCATTCATTCTCCGAGCTCCCAAAATTTTTCCCAGGTCGCAAACACCCAACGATGGTGAAGTCATATTTGTAAGTGAGGCGCTCAAGGGTGTAGCATTTTCCCCCGAAAGTATTTTCTGTGTACTGACTTCTTCAGTAAATTCGAGCATTCGAAGACTTTCGGGCTCATTGCGTCCGGCTCGTCGAATGCGATCTGGGCCCGGGATGATGAACTCGCGGGTTCCGCACGTCGAACAGGCTCTGGGCGAGCCTTCGTGGGCGCGAGCGAGGAAGTTCTCTGTTGGGACATTAAGAAGGGTGAACTACTGGGCAGATGGCACGATACGTCTTGCAAGGCGCAGGTCACGATAATCACTCAGAGCAAAACGGATGAGGATATTTTTGCGGTCGGGTAAGTTTTCTCACCATGGTAGGATTTTTATACGCTACCTTACTAATTCGGGCGTCGTTTTGTGATATAGTTATGAAGACGGCAGTATTCGTATCTGGGATTCACGGACCGAGACGGTGATTATTTCCTTCAATGGCCACAAGTCCGCCATCACTCAGCTTGCCTTCGATAGCACAGGGGTCCGCCTCGCAAGTGGTTCGAGAGACACGGACATCATTGTATGGGATCTAGTTGCGGAAGTCGGACTTTTCAAACTGCGCGGACACACCGATCAGATTACATCGCTCCATTTTCTTACCCCGTCCATTGAATTGCTCAATGAAGCCGGTCTCAGTGAGCATGCGGGTTTTCTGTTGACGACTGGAAAGGATGCTCTCATCAAAGTATGGGACTTGGCTGCGCAACACTGCATCGAAACACATGTGGCACAGTCCAATGGCGAGTGTTGGAGTTTGGGTCTCTCGCCCGACCAGAGTGGTTGTATTACGGCAGGAAATGATGGAGAACTGAAGGCCTGGTCGATTGATGAGAGTGCTATGATTCACATTTCCAAAGAGAAGGTCGGCTTGGAGGGACAGAAGATCTTGACGGACCGGGGCACGTTTTACCGAAATGGAAAGGACCGCACAATCGGAATCAGCTTTCATCCTCGAGCGGACTACATTGGAATCCACGGATCTGAGAAGGCAGTTGAGATTTGGCGCATTCGCTCGCAGACCGAGGTGCAAAAGAGTCTGGCTAGGAAGCGCAAGAGGAGAAAGGAGAAGGACGCGCAGCGCGCAGCTGACAAGGATGGAGCAGCTGCTGAGGATGCCATTGAGAAATCAGAGGACGCCTCATCTGCGCCCGTCTCGGAAGTCTTTATTCCTCACACTATTGTACGCACTGGCGGTAAGGTCCGGTCCTTTGACTGGATTCGCACGAAGTCAAGTGGAAGTCTGCAACTTCTGGCCGCGACCACAAACAACCAACTCGAAGCTTACAGCGTTGTGACCGCGAACAAGAAGAACAAGGATGAGGAGGAGCCGGACTACAGCCGGAACTTGGCAGTCGACATCCCCGGCCACCGCACCGACATTAGATCTGTTGCATTGAGCTCGGACGATCGGATGCTGGCGTCTGCCTCCAACGGCAGCCTCAAGATCTGGAACGTCCGGACCCAAAGCTGTCTGCGTACTCTTGAATGTGGCTATGCTCTGTGCTCTGCTTTCCTTCCT